AATTCACTGTAAGCAACTCACGCGATAGATTTGTTCTTTAAAAGGTCAACTGAAAACGTAACAAAAAGTAGGTTAGAAAAATCAGTAATCTACAGTTCGATGCGCCTTCATCTTCTCTTTCCAATGATGAAAATCGCAGTTCTCTATCTTGTTAGTGTCAAACGTTATTCAAAAAATACTTACGAGCATTCATGTTCATGCTACCAGCACATATGCGAAAGAAATAGATCTTATCGAAATTTGATTATTATGATATTAGTTGAATAGTGATCAAACAGCACAGAAAAATAGAGCGTAAGACGCTCTATCTGTTCATAAAAAAAGAAAACTTTTTCAAGCTTTTTCTATAAGAAAAAATAGTACGTCCCTGACTACTTTTGCACAGCCCTAAGTATTTTGCTTAGAGTAGCTCAAAATAATCTTTCAAAAATTCGTTTCATTAAATCCCATGAAAAATTGGTATTAGAAACCTCATTCTTTTTTTCAGATAGATTTAGTGATTTAGCGGATGGTTTAATTATTTCAGTACCACATACTAGAATCTTGATTATCCGTCGAGGCAAAATAGAATAAATGAAGTCATTACATCGAATGCTTGTCATTAGTTTGTATCTTTGTATTCATAGAAAATATGTGTGATAAAAAAAGTACAGGTACTATGTACTGTGCTTTCAGCAACGATTACAGTACTTGTATACAGATCAAGGGAAGCATATCACCTGTGGAAATCGAATTAATCTATTGAGATATAATAAAGACCATAGATATTGATGTCATAAAGAAAAATATGAATATGAATTGATTTTAAGCCCATTGACATAAAGTAAACAAGAGTAGTATAATTAGAGATGATGAAAAAGCATGATTAATGCTATGGTCGACTACACTCAAAAATGCGTAAATTTGATAGATATTCATGTAAGAAAAGCAGTTAGACAAGGAATAGACATACAAAGTGGTCATTTGCATTTTTGTTCTCGCTGTTATTATTCTCACTAAGTTATTATTACTGGCATGTAAGTTAGATAGTGATACATTATTTGTTGTACTTGAGCAAAAATCTCTTATTATCTCTATTGTACACTGTATTTAATCTTACTAGCACCAGTAATATGTATGCAACGCAAATACCCATCGCTGCAGTTCCAGCGCCAAGAAGCCGGTAAATTCTCAGATCATCCGACGTGATCAAAATAGTGTGTTTACACTTCTGTACGATATTTAAGAGCTTAAAAACTTGAATAACTTATTTCATTTCGGTAAAAAAGACAAATTTTAGGTAGCATTTTTGTAAAAATACATGTGAAGATGGAATTTGGCAATTGCGTTGACATAACCCATACCCTTCTGTTTTTCTTATTTAAGAAATGCTGTATGGCCTCTTCTTGCTATATGCTGTTTGGCCTTAGTGGGTATTGTGGTAGCAGCTATAATTATTCTGGCTTTAATACCAGTTTACTTACCAAAACGAGGTGAAAATATTAATGGACGAGGTAAGCTTTTCTCACTCTGAAATAATTATCCGTTTTCTATGTTCAACTTTATGTTAAGAATCACCAGCGATTGTTATTGAATACAGTATACCAGCTGACAGCAATTCCGTATTCACTGGAATGTTCCCATCATCAAACAATGACCCTGTGGCCAGACAGGTAAGATACTACAATGTAAAAAGAAGTGTTTTTATCACAATTACAAGCATCATTCTAATGCTTTTAATAATTCTAGAATAATTTTGCACAGAGCAATGCATCTGCGATTTTTGGCTTTTCTCTGCACTCATGTACTTTTAACCTTTCATTTTTATATCTATAATAAATACAGATTAAACTAGATTAAAGTTGTTTACACTATTATCTGAATGATATCTTTTAGTTAGAAAAACAATTAGGATTAGCTAATGGTTCACTTACGGTCAAAAGCATCACCAGTGTTGGCAATGTAGATCGACGAAAGCGCTTGTAAGTATAACGTTTCTTATCTAGAATGTATTCATATCCGATACATATATATTTCTTCTTTTTCCAGTCTACTCTCCAAAAGACAGATTGGTTTCACAAATCGATTGAGCATGGATTGCGTACAACATTTCCCTCCAACATGCACATCCTTTGAATGTCGTGATGAAGCACAGAAAAATTTTCAACAAATAGTGACGACTATAATACAGATATCAATTACATTAATACTACCTAACGGTACAACAATAACGGTTAGATTAACATTTCTTGCAATATCATTTGGAGGTAAAATGAATTATTATATCGATCAACAGTTTTAATTAATTACTGGTATATTTTTATCAGGACATTCCACTACTGGTCCTGGAGGAGGAACGGGGGCTACTACAGGGGCGAGCACTGTAACAAATAGTCATGGAAACGGAAATGGTGGAAGCACAACGGGTACGTAAATCTTATTATAGTCAAGCCATCAAAATTTTGTATGACTAGCTTAAAGTACATCAATCGCAGCACGATATGCATTGTAGTAAAAAGAGCCTGCAACAGAAATTTGCTCTCCGCGAGTATTCATACATTAAAAGTACCTTTTTTGAGAATGGCAACATTATTACATTTGCTAGTAGGATTAAATTCAAAGCCCGTTTTTGCTTGAATTGAAGTTGATTAAAACAATATTTCACCTATACTACCTGTGATCAGTCAATGTGTATAGCTTCGAACGTTTGTGTTCAACTAGGACACTTGTTCGACTTACTATTGACTTCTTCAAAAATATTCTGTATCCACATCTTACTTATAGCTGCTTCATCAGCACCAAATCACTCAGTTTGAACCAATCATCCGTCTCTGACCAGTCCAAGTGCTGTATCGCACGTGGCTACAGCTCCTTCTACCAATCCAATGAGATAGTTTACTGTTTGTTAATATATATTACCATCACTAAAAAATAATGAAGTTGAATATATTTTGAATAATGTTTGGTAGGCAAGTCGAGTAGCCAGTCGATAACCAAGACCTGACTGCATTTTTTCATTATGAAAACGATTTCGAAGACGTTTCCATAGTGTAGACCATTCAGAAATTTTATTTCCTAAATAATCCCTTGCAAATCGGGCATTAGCTGAAAATCTTGAAATACATATAGCGTTCTTATTATGGCCGTATTGCCCATAGTGCTTCCCTCAGATTGAAGTAAACATAGAATCCCATCAACAAAATCAGTTTAGCATGCCCCAAAAGATCAAATTATACTACTTTTCCTGCTGTGATTGGAGCTAGAGGCTGACAGAGCCCGAGTTTTGAATTTTGCTTCCTGTCTCAATAGAGAGCAGATTTTTAAAAATTCCGTCGAAGACTTTTCGGATTTTCGACTTTCGATTCCAGTCAAAAATCAATAACGCAATATTCGACAATCAGGCTCTAGCAACATGTGTTCGATTCATCTTGAAACCAATCTGAGCTCTCTAATATTTACCTGGAAGAAACACTTTTGAGAATACCAACAGTTCCATTATGACCGCTGCCGTGGCGACGTTTTATGAACAGAGAGAGACCAAGTAAAAAGAGAAGTTTTACCACCAAACTACGATACGATCTTGTCAAAAACCTCGAAGAATGTTGATGCTCAACATTCTTCGAAGTTTTTGACAAGATCCGACTCACGGTTACTGAGAAACGTTCTTCCAAGGAGGCCGTAATTTGTACACTACGTTGCCTAAACGAGATTGAGATGATGCTAATATTCCACTACACAAAGAATCTCTTTTCACACATGTTTGCTCACAACCACATTTCTTCCCATGCATGATGTACCAAATAACTATTTATACGGCACCGATTAAACTTCTCTAACGTCATTAGCTCAGGATAGAAATGATCTGAAACTACTTTTCTATTCTTGAATAACCTTGAGTCAGTCCTCCGCTTCTGCTTATTTCAGCGCTTCAAAGAGTGCTCTATTCACTCAGATAGAACACTTTTCTAAACTTAACATTTTTATCTTGATGAAATAAGTAGTGGCACATCTGCACATCTGATTTTCTCTGTCGATACTTTCCCGACAAGGATAATCTTTTGGAACGCCTTTCGAAAGAACAAAGTCTCACGTAGTCACTGAAAAATAGTTTCGAAGAAGGATGTCCGTATGATTTTTAAATTTAACACTGAAAGACTTGTCAAAAGGCTTTGTCAAATTCATCAAAAAAATCTTTCATTTTATTTTGAATTTTGATTAACAGCCATTCCACGATAGAGACCGCCATTTCTATAAGTTTTAAAACGATAAGTTTTTTATTAATTTAGAGCATCTTCTGTACGTACGGTTTGCGGCGGTATCTGTGTAAATTGATTTTTTCGGTCATCCTTGAAACCACAGGATTATCGAAATTAAGAAATTCGGAAGAAAACACAAAATATTTTAGTAGCATAACGATGAATTTACACAAGCACGCCGCATGATTCTTTTGCCCATAGTGATAGAACGAAATTAACCTGTTGCGGCACAGAAATAGAGAAGGAAACAGATTGCTCTATTACTATCGAAAACATGTAAAAAAGACCAACTCGGACATTTCTCTTTTGAATATTGCTCTAAAATATTATATCTGTCCAATAGACACAAAACACCACCTGAATAGCACTTATTTCACGCACAAGTCAGTGCAATGACGATCATTGAAATGATTTTAGCCGTAAACAAGATAACTTTCTTTCGAGCTTTGCTGAAGTAAACTATTAGACACTAGTGTGACCATTATTTTCCATAGCGCTTTTCCTTTTACAGTCTAGTATTTTCCTATTGATCAAAAACAGCCTCTAGTGTGAAAAACATTTGTTTAAGACAGCACTTTGAAAGTTGCCATTAATGCATAAATACAGCTCCATACAATAAAGTTAATGCATGAACGAGAAGACCAGACAAATGCAAATAGCTGAGATGAACAACGAAGGACCTCCTGTGTCATAACAACTTTCATAAAATGCTCATTCTCAGGAATGAACAAAAAATTTAGTTGGCTATATCATCAGCCGTTTTATTTACTCCAGAACTAAGAGAATATGCTACACTTTATAAAAATTCAGACAGTACTTCTGAGATCCATTACTATACCAAAGTTATATATTTGAGACACCATCACCGACATTTGATTAACGTGCTAGATGCAGTTGTGCCAAGCATGTTTATTGACCATAATCCCAGCCTTTTATTTCATGTTCTACACTCTACTTGGTAACTACTGCTTTATTTGAAGCAATGGGTAGTTGCCGTAAAAAGAAGTCAGAAAGCTCTACTATGTTCTAGTGTTTTCGCAGTTAATCATGGTTGCGATATATTTTCGCAAGGATTCAAGTACACAGTATATTTTCATCCAATACGAAGGGTTCTTTGTAGTTCATGAAGCTTATTCATTTGTTTACTGGTTGTTTCAGGTCCAGCAAAAGTTACCACGTCCACTCTTGTGGCTGGCACAAGAACTACGACAGGTACGGTTATTACTGCAATACGTTTCTTGAATGAAAAACTCCATAACTTTTGAAGAAAGTAACGTGCGATGCAAAACTTCTCAGAATCTTCCTAAGTATGTCTCTGCTCCCTATTATGCAAGTACAAACAAAAAACGCAGCCATTGAGTGAGACCCTTAGGTCGTCCATAACGTCGAATAGCTCTTAATCACGAATTTCCATTACTAGAATCCAAGGAACAGCGAAATTCGTTTAAGTGCCGTTGGAAAGAGGATAGATGAGACAGCGGTTTTCTTGTAAGTTATTTTAGTGGTGAGGATGTAAGTGAGAAATCGTGACAGGTAGTGTGTGTCTCGATACTAACGGGTTTTGCCCGGAATTTCTGTGTATTGATCTCTGTTTGTCTGACAGAATGGGTCTGGAAAGCAGTTCGACCGGAGCGATCATTCCCTGTCCAAAACTTTAGCGATCAGTCGCCAGTGTTTGCGTTTATTTTACCCAAATTCTTCGCAAACTTACGTATTCACTTTCACGGTCACCTATCTTCACCATACAGAACAGATCATTCTGAAAAATCTCGGCATTATCTTCTGCACTTTTACATCTAATTTATTGATTCTTGAATCGACATCCTCCTGTAAACTACACACGACAAATAAGAAACATGTGCTGAAAAGCATTCTGAAATAACAACTGTTTTCCCTGACAAAGTAAACTTCGCACCCGTGTGTCAGCGAATCAGACTTAACTGATCGACCCTAACACAGTTGCTTTTTCACATAAACGTCAAAACACAAACTTGTGTTTAATCAAATGTTTAATCTTGACAAATTAACTATCCCGTTGAGAAACTAGTTAAAAGCGTTTTCTTTTTCAGTCAATAATCAACTAGACTATCTTAGTCTAGACAACTGTTCCTTTTTGAATTTGGGTTTTTGTTACATTTTTCAAGTCAACTATTATAATCTCCCTTCGGAGGGACATTCGACCTTAAAGGGTAAACTCTGTATTTACTGTTTAGGACAAGTGTCATCATCGACTACTAACCAGTGCTTACCGTTATCAACACCATGTTCTACAGGTGATCAATGTTGTAGTGGACAATGCGAACAAGCATGTAATCATGACGAAGAAGGAAGTTGTCCAAAAACTTGTCAAATTACAAGCACTAAAGGTACTTCAGAGA